ATAATGGACCAGTGCAAGTACCATCAGATACTGATCCGTCATGGAATACCCAGTGGTTTGTGTATTATTGGTAAATGATTCGACTACCAAGAAGATAATGGCCCCAAACACTCATTCAACCAATGCAGAAATTACTTAGCTAAGAAAGAAGCTGCTGGAGTCATTCAAATGATCCAATGGTCCACACAGAGCCCCAATCTCAACCCAATTGAGCAGACCTGGGACTTGATAGATCAAAAACTTGCCAAATCAAAAGTTACTTCCAAAGAAACTTTATGGGAGTGTATTAGACATTTGGAATAAAATCCCAAAGGACACTTTGATTAAATATGTTGCAACAATGCTTGAAAGACTGTCTGTAGTGATTAAATCAAAAGGGGGACATGCAAAATATTAACTATTTGTTGAACTCAAGCACTTCCACTGAGTTTCTTTGAACTAATTATGAAGATTAATAAAATGTTGATGTTTCACCTGTGATTTACCTTCCATTATTCTTTGAAAGTAGCTTGAAATGTAGTTTTTGACTTTGTCCAAACACTTTTGCACAGTATTGTATATATCTATTGTTACATGATGGTTATAAGATCATGTAAAATACAAGTCTGTTGCAAAAGGGTTAAGCTAAACAAAACTTTAAGCAGCCATACTTTTCACCACTGAGATAAAATATATCCTTCTTTCACAACATAGCCTAGGGATAAAACAGATTAGGAATACCTAGAATTTTATGTACAGATGCTTCAGGTTTTGCACATTTCAATTAGACGAAAATAGAAAGGAATGTCCTATAATTTATGATAATCAACAGATAATAGAAATTTGTCATATTCTAAAACTACTGAGGTAGAAGAATTAACTGACTTTGAATTGCAAATTTAAATAGGCCCCAGGTAATTACTAGATCAATAACGAATTTGGAATAGACAAAAAACAAATTGAAGAGGTTTGTAGATCATAAACATAAATTATCAGTAATCAAATTAATAGGCAACATCAATAAGATTAGCTTGATTTATCATCGAGAGCAAGGAATGGGTGCACAGAAATATGGAAGAAAGAGACTATCCATTAATATGTGAAATAGAGATCGTATAATACCTGAAACCAATATTTAAAGAGAAACGTCAGCCTCGTGAAACTGACCAATGTAACATAAATCTGACGAGGATTGACACAAAGCAAGAATGAAACAATGCGAGGCAGGAGTGCTATAGAAATACCATAGTGTGTCAACTTAACTGAGTATGTTGCGTGTTAAAACTTACAGACTACCTTGTGTAAATGTAGAAGCATATAGTTACCCTAAATATCACAGGCCCCAAACAGAAGCAGCCCGGTGTAAGTACCACCATATGTCCAATGAGCATTGCTGCATCTGAATGGCCTGTTTTCTTTATGACTGGGTGAGCCGTTGCTCTATTATGTCCTATGCTTTACAGAGCAAAGCATGAATTTTTGTTTTATTGTAATACTAATTTGTTGTAATGAGAATATAAATAACTAATGTGTAACCAACATATAATCAATATATGTTAAGAATCACTTTTATTTCATTCTGTACTTGATTTTTGTTAGTGGGTGTAGAAATTGATATTATTATGGTATTATCTGAATATACATATAATCACATATTGTTTTCAATTGTATCAATACATATATTTTTTTTCTTTTGGTGTTTCGTTTTGACTTTTCATGCATTTTGAATAAAAATAAGGAAACATATACCTGTACATAATATATTTTTTTATCTATGAAATTCTGATTGATTTATATACTAGTAAATTGATATGATATTATTTGGAAAAGTTATATAAAGAAATAACAGTTAATTGATATGTGTTGACTATTAATCTTATGTAAAAAATATACTAATGGAATAATTAGTTTTAGAATAATTCAGAGTAAAGCATTGTTAGATGCCTGGACAGAGGAAGATCAAGGAGACTGTGATAAATTTTTATAAGAGACAAAAATTTCCTAAAGAGGGAGGATTGAAATATTTGTGGAATACAAATACTAAGTATATACATATCTAATGGTTATCAAGAAGTACATATATATTTTAAAATGCCTATAATATATAGTATGGAGAAAGCAGCAGGTCAAAAAAGAAAACTGTTATAAGAAAAACATGGACTCTAGTGAACCACAATACCAAATAATGAAGATGCAGGCTTGAAGCCCATCACAGGAGTTAGCCTGGGACACATTCCAATCATGACCTCAGATGTGCAAGAATTCACAGCTACCAATTCTCATGTGGTATGTTGAGAAAACCCCAAAAGTTAGATAAAACACATGGCGAAATTAACCAAAGTCACAAAAAAGGCAGTTAACAGGACGGCACTGAAAGACAAGGGTGACATACTCTTAATGAAGAGGCCAGAGTTACATGGTTTGTCTCTATATGATCTAATTTAATTGTCTTGGATGATTTTGTGAAAGATATTAGATAAGGGACAGAAATAAGTTCTGTAAGGACCAATAACAAAGTGGATTTTGGTTACAGTCTGATGAAATAGTCCACATGTAACTAGAAGATCCCACTTGTACCAATTGAGTTAAAAGAACTACTTTTGAAAGTAGATCTGCTAAACTTCTTGAACAACTGGAAAAACACTAAACATTGTGCATACAATTCCATGTTTCTGACTCCAAACATCAACTTTTCCACACTTATCAAGTTGCTCAAAGACCTGATCTGACTCCAGAAGATGGCAGTAATCTAGAATCTATAAGAAGTTTGCCTCACAAACTCCTTGTAACTATGCTATTTCTGATTTAGTCTAACAGTTTCATTTAAGGTTCAATAATGTATCATGTATAAAGAGAGAAAAGTGAAGAATACTAACTGTACTAAAGAAATAGTAGATTTGATAACACTTATATTAGAACTACTGAAAGATATCTTAGAATTGTTAATGTTACACAGATTACGACTAAGAGAATTTCTCACATTAATTTAGTTGATAACTTAACTAATGATGTCTGTGTCATTGAACATAATAGAAGGTCTTATTAATGAACATCTAGACTTTTAAAGTGAAGAATTCAATGATTGATAGTTAGTGTTGTTTCAAGATAACCTTCAGAATTTCAATATAAATAAACTGTTTAACAGCATATAAATAAAGAAATTATGTGATTTGTATTCAGCTGTCTCTGTGAGTTCTTTATTGCACATGTAAACTTCCTCGAGTTTGTGGCTTGTGTGCACTTCTCACAACAATACGACCCAAAATCCAAATAAATTTTTTTGTAACGAGAGTACAGTCTAACCCAATGAATAAACCTACAGCCTGCCCACACACCCATTATACTGTGTTCTTTAGTGCATTATTTAATTAAATAAAAATATATTTAGTGCAGTACTACCACTGGTATAAAAAAGTAGGATTAAGTGTCATCATCAGTTAACAGAAAAAAAAAAGTTAAGGTTAGATTAGGTGAAATAAGCAATAATAATAACATAATAAAAAATTTTTTGTGAGTAGCTCACGCATAATGTAATTCGATAGCACAATGTGATCTAAACATTCACCAAGTGATTTACAACTTATAATGGCACAAATAGTAGTTAGACAGGTTTCAAAAGGCAATAAAACAATACAATTTAAGTATAAACATATGTATACTGTTATGAGTTTAAAGCTATTTAGGATAAACAAATATGGTTTCATATTACAATGAAGACACTCTTGAAAAAATAAAAGGGCAATTTTGATTTACTTCGATTTTTTTTTTTGGTAGTTAAGAAGTCTGTGAAATTGAGCAACCTTGTATAAAGTTATGGTAGAGAAAATAACAGATGAAATATATATAAAGTTTTACTGAAAAAACGTTTGAAATTTATTTAGGAGGTTTTAGAGATTACGCAAATAAAATTTTCTATTTTTTGAGACAAAGAAAAGTATTTTAATCTTAACATGAAAATCACTTTGCACTCAGACTACTATATAGAAACATTATATATATACATGTTCATGGACAAATGTTTAGTAAAAATACTTCATTAAAAAATTTGATTTTTTTGTAGAGAAAAGACTTGTAATGTTTACTACAAGTCTACCAAATTTTATGAATGCATTAAAAGTTATAGTATGAAAACTATAACAAGTACAAAATGGTTACAAGGCCAGTCAATTCAATTGACCTCGTAGCGAGAGAGTAATATACATAACACACAAATGGTATCAGCACCTTTTTGTCAAGTACTTATAGAGATCCACAACTTTATCATTCACCACAAGACCTCGGAAGCAGCCAATGAACCCATCCTTAATCTCCAAGTCTACAACTTCATGCCTAGAAGAAATATACGAGCAGTATTCTTAGAACTGAAGAAAAAATCAATAAAATTCTATAAAGTAAATCCAAGTATAATGTGTAGATGAAATAGAAAATTGTAAGTTATTTTTTAAACATATTAAAAATTAATATTTTGAAAGTACCAAAATAAATACATCTTTAAGTGTATTGTTTAAACAGATCTTGGACTTCTCATTACAAATTATTGTCTTTTTTGGTTTAATTCAAATTCATTTTTAAGTCTAGTACAACGTTTTAATTAAAGTTTAATGTGGATTGGATCTCCTTATAATATACACAAAAACAGGTTGATTCATATTGAAAGTTTTTGATTCAAGATGTACAAGGCACCTTCCTAAAAGATTCCAAATCTTACTCCCTATACTAAAGTCCTAGCCATGTTAAAGTAGATGACTTCAAAACTCTACGTCTATCTCCTTTAACTTAACAAAGCTCTATCCACATTTAAGTAGAAAACAAGATTCCTTTAACATTCTGCATCTATTCTAACAAAGATCTAACCATGTTAGAGTGAACCACAAAATTTATATACACTCAAACTATTCCCTCTATTCTAACAAAGATCTAACCATGTTAGAGTAAAACACAAAATTTATATACACTCAAACTATTCCCTCTATTCTAACAATAATTTAACCATGTTAGAGTAAAACACAAAATTTATATACACTCAAACTATTCCCTCTATTCTAACAAAGATCTAACCATGTTAGAGTGAACCACAAAATTTATATACCCTCACACTATTCCCTCTATTCTAACAAAGATCTAACCACGTTAGAGTAAAACACAAAATTTATATACACTCGAACTATTCCCTCTATTCTAACAAAGATCTAACCACGTTAGAGTAAAACACAAAATTTATATACACTCGAACTATTCCCTCTATTCTAACAAAGATCTAACCATGTTAGAGTAGAAAGTAAAACTTTCCATCTGTTTAAATTCTAGCCAAACTAGAGTAGTGAAGTTCTCCAAGTGATATAATTAGTATTGGAATCTTCTGGCTTAAAGTGATACAATTAGTATTGGAATCTTCTGGCGTAAAGTGATATAATTAGTATTGGAATCTTCTGGCGTAAAGTGATATAATTAGTATTGGAATCTTCTGGCGTAAAGTGATATAATTAGTATTGGAATCTTCTGGCGTAAAGTGATATAATTAGTATTGGAATCTTCTGGCGTAAAGTGATATAAATAGAGGTGGTATTTCTTGGCACAAAGTGATATAAGTAGTGTGAATATTTTCTTACATTATGTGATGTAAGTAGTGTTGGTACGTGGCATAAAGTATTTTCTAATGTAAAGTAATATACATAATGCTGACATTATCTGGCATATGGTGACACTAATCTTCAAAGGTCAAATTAACATAAAAGTTTACTTCTGCACAATTCAAGAAAGTATACATAACAGTAATAATTTAGTCATTTGAAAAAATATCAGCATACTAATCTTAGTTATGTTGAAGAATCAAATACTTTTTCAAATTGTTTAATACATTAACTAGCATTTAAGCTTTGACCTGTCCTGAGTGATGGGAAAAGTTTAAGTTAATCTATCAATTTAAATTATTTCATGGACTTTAAAAAGGTTAATTGTGATGCACTCTTGGTTTCACTCATAGACAAAGCTCTGAGCTACTTACAACATCCAACACAAAAAGTAATTGTTGAGTATTCCAGTCATACTAAGAGCCACTCAACAATAACATATGGTAAATCTACATTTTTATTCTTTAAGTTACATCACATTTTGAAATGTGAATGATAGCGTGATTAATTCCTAAAAATTTAGTGTAGAATATCCTGCTTATAAAATAAAATTTGCCATCAATATTATTCATGCCTGTTCTCCCATCAGCTCAAAAGTGAATGTTCAGCTTTGTCTGCGTGCGCAGCTTTTCAAACTGAAGACAGATGAACACTCAGACAGACACCGTGGTACACAATATATAAAAGATGAAAAACAAAAAAAACTCACTTTGGAGCACCCCCAACATATAATGGGCCTTCAAACATGGCAACCTCTTCATCCCCTTTAAGATCCATCATATACGATTCCAGGTTAACAGTGAACCTCATGTGACGATTATCATGGTCTACCCACACCTGCTGCCACTCACCCGAGTTTAGTCTTCTTTTCGATAGGACTTTCTTGCTCACAAGTTTATTGTTCACAGCAAACTCAAAAGCCAATTCATAGTCTACATGAAGAAAGTAATGAAAGAAGTTCTAAAAATATTTATTAATAACCAATACAAGTAATACAATGAAATAAGGATGATGATAATAGAATACATTTAGCACTGTCAATGGTTACCTTCTGTAACTTGAGAAGTGGCTTATTAAGTTCTTTATTCCCTACATCAACATAAAGATATGCTGTATTGTAATAAAAGATCGAACACATTTAACAAAATTTATAAGAAAAAAACAAAACGTGAAAGTTTCTATTAATAGCCTTATTTTTGACCTAGAAAAGTTCACACCCAACAGTTAAAACACTTTTAGTTGTCCTACACGACATAAAACTAAGTAATGAATAATTCAAAACAAGAATGTACAGTGAATAAAAGTTGTCCAAACAACCAAATCAAAGAAATAGGATACTATCACAAACTTATGTATCACAAGACACAAGTGCATGCAAGCCCAAATTTTAATACATCAATAGCTTTTGCAACAAATATCAACATATTAAAACAACACCAAAGGCTTCTCTAATATGAGCTAGATAGCAAATATAGACTACATCATTATCAAACATTGAAATAAAGGTTTCACTTTTGCTGACAAAAACATATCCTACACAAGTATAGGTTTCAGATCTAATGTTTATATCCCACAATTCTTATGTTTCATGTAACATATGCAACAACTCCAGTAGTTTAGTATATGTCTTTTCAAACTTTTCCCAAAGTTTAACTTTAGCTATATTTTATTTGTAGTTCAAATGTTTTACTATTGAAACTTTACTTCTGTTTCATATGGTAGCTATGCGGTATGCAGATAACATACATCTCACTGTCATATTTTATAATCACATTTGTTGTTGTTTTTTTAACTATTACAGAGTTCTCATTAGGACAATTTAGTCAAGGTCACTTACCTAATAGTGTTTCAATCAAGAAGGCTATTGTTTTTTGGGGTAGTTTTATCTTACTCTTGTATTTATGGGATTGATTTGTAACAGACATACCTTTGGATAATTGTGACTGTTCAGCTGTAATGAATCATGAATGCAGTTTTGTCATTTTCAGTCCAGTTTGTTTCTGTTGCTGACAACAGCTAAGATGTGTAGGGAAGTTTCTTCTTTGTTTTTGTCCTCACTCTTGTAATTTATAGGCACTCACTGTTTGTGTGGGTGTTTGAATTTCCCATTTTCAACACAGCTAACAGTTCTTTAAGCTCAGTTTATTGTAATTTAAATAAAGTTTAATCCTTTCTTCTATTTTAACAAGTTAGTCTCAAATCCACCAACACAGTAGTCCTTTCTGCCATTCAATCAGCCTTGAATGTCAAAGTATTCTTGCCTCTTTAAAATAGTGTTCATTTCTGGTTAACTTCTTACCATGTCTTGACCTTCATTACACCAGCAACAAACATTACACTAGTCCTTCCAGATGTTAGATCTACGAACCTCTTATTGTTGTCAAGGAAACCATTCCAAACTTTCAAATATCACAGCTATTTCTCACAATTGTCTTAATAATTCAAATACTTTATTTCCATTGGCTAATTTTTAATACCAGTGTAATTGCATCAAATGAAATTTTCTCTATTAATACATTCAGCATAGGAATATTTCTCTACAAGTGTAACATTATATACAATACTTAGTATTTATCTGTTAGTTGCTACTGGCCACTTTCTAGTACTCTTACCTTGTAAATGCATCTTTTCCTCGTACATTTAAACAATGTATATATATATACATACACACACACACACACACACACCAAAAAGGGAGATAAAACTATGACCACTATGTAACACTAAGCATTCTGACTTTCACAAATTAATTTTCCAGCATCCAGTAAACTATCTTCTCTCATATTCTCTAATTCACAGCATTCTGACGCACAATAAAAAGGATATGTCAATTATATCACATGTTCAAATACTTCTGATAGGGAAGAATTACTTATTAATCAACCCATACCTTAATTCAAATAAAAACTTCTATTTTATAAGTAACTTAAACTTGTCACTCTTAACCTCTATTTTCAACTACCTAAATTTAATTACAATGTCATACTGACTTATACCCACTGGTGATCTTTTCTGTCAAAGATTTACTACAATTTTACGATTAAAAAAATATATTCGCACAAAGAAAGTTCTTTAATAAGTAGCTCAGTCTAAGTCAATTCAAAAGTAGCGTATGTATACTAAAATACAGCTGATAATACAATTTCACAACTAACACATTTATTAGATGTTGTCAGTATCCAGTTAAACAGTCAAGAATTGATTAAAAGTATATTCACCGCCTGTAAGCAAGACTCTAAAGTACCCATGTCCTGGGTGAAGCGGAGGTTGGTAGAGTATAATCCCTCTACTGGACGATGTCCGAAAACTAAATGCCAGATCACCACTACGCCAGCCTGGTACTTTCAAGTAGGAGAAATACGTCTTAAAAGTTATGACATATTCTTGAGTGTCTGAAATAGAAAATTAGCTATCTTTAGTTGTCTAGAAACTTATATAGTACAAAACGTGTTTAATGTAATCCAGGTCATAAAACGCTTCAACTCCTGTGAACATCTGCTCTCGAGTAATGTTTTTTTATAGGCTTACATATATGATTAGCTGCTACACAGAAACCAGTTTCTATATTTTTTATATTACACATGAACTTATGTTTATCCTTAACTTAAAGTCAAGAAAAATTAGGTAACTGTGAACATATATAAACTATGCTCAATTAAAATAGATTTTATATTGTTAACAATAGGAACAGCATTTTAAACTTTTCAACATCCTGATCATCTCATACAGTGTTGATGTATGACAAAGGCACACTTGTGATACACAGGTACTATGTCTTGGTTACAACCAACTTGATATAATTATACTGATACACAAGTTATTGATGGAACATAACTCTAACAATAACCTAAACTTCTCAGTAATGACAAGTAACTGTTAAAAAACAAGCCATTATAATGCTTATAAAATTACAAGAAGAATTCAATGAGATACAATTTAGGTTTCAAAATCTCAGAGATGTAAAAGTAAAGGATAATCATAACAACTGAGAAGTTTAACATGGGAAAAAAATGTTGTAATCCTTTTCAGTGATAAATCTTTAAAATACTTACATACTTATTTAGGATAGAAAGTGCAACAAATATATCACTAAATAACAAAAAAAGAAGTTCTGAATACAAATAATATAAAATAGGATTACAAACACAGTTAATTCTAAGCCGTAGCTCAACATCAAAGCTCATCGGGCTAAAAGGTTTGAATCTTTAACCAACTCAGACTGATGATCACTAATATTGAAGATTATATTCCTCTTGGTGTGAGAAATAGATTCTAAATGATTTCACCTAAACAAGAGAGTACTCTCACAGTATGCAAGAAACCTGATAACACTAGTACAAAAAGATAGTGTTCTTGTTGAAAGGAATTATGGAAAGTTTTCAAACTAATTCAAACATAGTTATGTTTCACTTGTTAATACCAAGTTTTTCTTTTGTTACAAAAAACATACAGAAACCTTGGCAGATTATTTTTTCCAATATCACACTTACATGTTTGCTAGAAGAGGGTAAAAGCAGGATAATATTGTTAGTTGGTTACACACATACCTTTACAAGTAATACAAAAGTTTCTTTAGCTCATTTTACTGTAACCCATGTTTAGCACAAAATAAACCTTTCATACACCTGTTTTATACATGTTCTGAGGTGGTTACTAATAACTGAATCAAACTATGGATAAAAACTAAGATCTTTCAATCAGCTGTTTTCTATATGTCCTGGAGTGATTACTAATAACTGGGTCAAACTATGGATAAAAACTAAGATCTTTCAATCAGCTGTTTTCTATATGTCCTGAGGTGGTTACTAATGACTGGATCAAACTTAGTGTGTGATACTTTATCAGCTATATATTTTTAATACGGGTCGACAAATTTAAGATATATCAAAGTAAAACATAATTTCCATGTGTACTTCTAAAATGAGTTGTACCAAAATTTATTAGTAATTGCATTGCAAGATCCTGGACAAGACATAGTTCAACAATTGAAAGTGCATTTTTGAATGGTGAACTCGACAATATTCTAAAGTAAAAATTCATTATCGCAACCTATGGTCAAAAATTATAAAATTTCTTTCATCTTTCAACATGATTCGCTTGTGCCACTACAATTCCAAAATTGATGAACGGATGGAAAACCAGACAAAAAACAAAACACGATCATAACAAACATTCTTATAACATAGCCTTCCTCTAACACACAAAAAGGATGTACCACTCCACCCGATTTTGTTTATGATTGGCTCTGCACAACATGAATCAGTGAAGTGGCTTTTTAGTTTGCTACAACCATACAGAACCATAGCCTTGACCCTAAACAATCATTTTTGTGCTCCTTCCACGTCAGCCTGTTTATTAATGTATCCCTGGAAGAAACCATCAAAATTTGTGCAGATACTTTGTATGGGGGAGAAGTTCAGTGCCCTCCAATACCTATGGACCTGTTTATTGAACTGATGAATACTGCGACACGTTCAGTGGAATTCAGCTTTAATGATATCATGTATCAACAGGTTAACAGAGTCGCCATGAACCTGCCTTAGCCAATATTTTCTTTGGTTTCCATAAAAAAGAACTATTTAACAAAGTTATCGGACCTGCTGTTTACTTCCGCTATGTAGACGACACATTTGCCATTTTCAAAAATGAGCAGAAATGCGAGTGTTTCTTACAAGACCTAAACTCGTTGCACTTGGCTCTCAAATTTACTTTTGAAAAGGAACAACATAACTCTTTACCATTCCTAGAAGTTTAAGTTGAAAAAGACGACCTTCGTTTTTTTACCAGTATATACAGAAAACCTACTTTTACAGGACAATACATGCGATGGGGTTCTTTCAGTCCCAAAATGTACTTTATTGCTACTTTAGTCCATTGGATTCTAGTTATCTGTTCAAAATCTAAACTAGATTTCGAATTGAAGACAATTAAAGCTATTTTACTAGAAAATGGGTAGTCATCAATCAAATTACTTCAAGGAAAATTTTGAGCTTCTCAACTGACCCAAAATTTGGTCCTAACAAGTGTCCTGTTTACCTAAAACTACCATGGATTGACAACACCTCAACAAAATTTGAAAAACAATTGAAAACGAAAATTACTATATGTTTTCCTGCAGTGAACCCCTACTGTGCTTATTCCACACGTAAGTTGTTGCCTGCAACACACAAAGATGCGATACCTACCACACAGAAAAGTATGGTTATTTATGAATTCTCGTGTCACTGCAAATGTCAGTACATAGGTCGCACTTCACAAAGATTGCAGAATTGAATTAAATAACATGTACCCACATCCATAAGAACTAAGAGTGTGAAAGTAAAGAATTTACCATGTCGGTCCTGTAAAACAAAAGTTCTACCACCAAAATGTGAATCAGTGATTGGCCAGCATTTACTAGTTAACCTAACTTGTGCTGACAACTACACAGATAGCATGTTTGAAATTATTGCAAATGGTCAGTCGACCTTTCATTTCTCTATTTTGGAAGCCACCTTTATTAAAACACATAAGCCTGTCCTTTGCCACCAAAAAGAATTCCTATACCTACACATCCTTCAGTAGGTCTGTGACGTTTCCTGATTGGCTAAAGGACATGCCAATCAGTGATTGCCTTACCATTGATCT